TTATCACTGACTGAGGACCCTCAATCTGCCAGGTGCTGCACAAGTGACACGCATTGTTTCGAAGACCTCACAGGAAGCTTTGAAAAAAATTAGTATTAACCCTATTTTACATTTGAGGCAATTGGGGCTCAGAGGTCACAGAGCTACTGTGCAGCATAATGAGAAAGCTGGCACTGCTTTGATCATAATAAGCACCTTACTTTTCCTAAATATAAAAACCAAATTATCCAAATGGAAACAAAGAGAAAGAAAATGACCTGTCTAAATATTTGTATTTTAAGAGATACGACTACAGTCTCTTTCAGGACCCCTAGATTATAGTGTCAATCAATCAGCTGTGCTGGACACCATGGAACAAAAAAGAAACAGTGCCATTTGCTTCGCCCAAGGGGCAATGAACAGGTAAGTAGTTGCTAATAGAAATGCAGTCAAATTCAGAGAAAATAACCATTTCTGTGATTTTTTTTTCCCTGAGAAAGGTAAAAAGTTACATCCATCTCAAAGGCCCTTTATAAATATGTACATATTTAATTTAAAGCATGATTTAATGTGAGCACTTCGAATTTGGAGACAACTCTATGATAATTAAGGGCAGACAAGAAACCAAGCTCTTCTAGCTGCCTCTGACATATTGGGAGCTCACATCTAGAAGCACAGTAGAAACCAAGCTCTCATGTTTACTCTGCACAAGGAGAATACTCAAATGCTGTTCCCCGTGCACATGACCGACACAGAAGGATGTTCCGACCACTGTGCAATGTCTGCCTCCTCCATCATCAGTCTGTGCAAACTATTGCAGCAGGAGGCATACTGACTTACTGCTTCACCATATCCCTCAGATCCAGAACAGAGCCTGACATCTAGAGAGGACTCAAATGTATTTGTCAACTGAATGAAGAAAACTAACACATACATTCTATTCAAGCAGATAGAACTATTTTTAGCAAGATGAAGGCATATACTGTAGCCTGACATACATAATGTTTGTTGGTTTAAATTGGTCTTGACAAGTCAACTTAACATTTGGACAAACTGTAAAAAACAAAACACAGTAAAACCAAAAGTTATCCCCAAAATAATGGGTCAATGTTTCATCTTCCAAGATTTTCCAACAATTCTAAAAACATCTTACCTCAGTCTTCTCCCCAATTATTTTATTTACTTTTTGAAACTATGCTAATCCCAAATTAGAGTGCATTATTTATTTAAAAATAATAGGGAAAAAAGTCATTGGTCCAGTTCATATCATTTGAGCAAAATAAAGGAGCTGACAGAAATCTAGAGAGAATTGGAAGAGGACTCTGCAAGAAAATGAAATAAATGTGGGTAAAAATTATGTTTATCTGTTTTTAAAACTAATTCTCTGATATATACCGGAAATAAATACTGCTCTTTTTTTCTAAGAAAATTTTCATTATTTGTATAATGTGAAAACAGCTGGAGAAGTAGCAAGTGTTGATTTTTAAACTGCATTCTGCAGACATACTGGTAAAATGTGATTTTGTAGGAAAAACTAAAGAAAATCCTAGCTATGTGGGGAATAAAACAAAAAACAAAAATCTATTAATTAAACCTTTCTTGAAAGCCCCAGATTACTTTAACCACTGATAAAATTTTCAGTGTTTGAAATTACATGTGCCTCTTTTTTTTTTTTTAAACAAAACCACCATAAACTTCACCTCATATAAAATGCTCTGTCAAGACTCAAAGTAAAAACTGTGTGGTGACATTTCAGCAGCAAAAAGGATGACCTCAAAAGGTCATGTCAATCCAATCCTGACTGATGACAGTCACAGCCAGGCTGTTAATTAATGTTCAGGACATAATGTTGATTTTTTTTCTTTACAACTAAATATCACACATCTAGCTAGCAACAGAAGAGTCTTTTCTTTAGAAACAAAATAGCCCTAATATTATTTTAGATTATTATGACCAAAAGAGAGAAACTATGAATCTACATTAGAGGACAAAAACACTTTCTATGTGATGTTATTTTCTTAAGTAGAAGGGAGAACATGGAGGAAGAAATAACTTCATCCAAATATGTCAATTTTAAAAACACAGAAGGTAATCAGTCGTAATGAGCATTAGGCAAACTGTACTGTTGTAAGTGGCCCTCTTCTACTATTATTTTTCAGTCCATATGAGGATGGAGAAATGAGCTTCTTGAACTTATTCTCCTCAGAGATGGTGGCTCACATGGTGAGCTCTGTACCTGCTCTTCTCATATCACCTCTGGGCCTCAGCAGGTGCCTGAACCCTTCATGAGACTCTCCACGTTGCCTTGTAATTCACAAGGAGTCTAATTTTTTTATTCTCTAAAATTCACTTATAAGCTTTAGAAAAGATTTTTAAGAATGAAGAATTCTTCCAAATACCTCCTTACTCAACATTACGGAAGCTGGTTTTAGTGATGGTTGATGCTTGTACCATAAAGTTTATCAAATATTTTTAATATTACTCTTGGTTAAAAAGATTGTAAATCTTTCATAAATTTTTGTATAATAGTAGGAATGATATAATAGGTACTTGATAATTGGTAGCTACTAATATTGTTTATTGGAAAACCAACGAACTTGGATTCTGAAAAAACAAAAACCTACTTCTCTAAGTTTCTTAAAATAAGAATGGGTGTGAGAGGTATGTAGCCATGGTCTTCTGAGAGGGGATCATGGAGAATCAACATTTGAGCCTGGATTTAACATGTTAGTTTGTTTAATTCACATCTCCAGTCTACTGCACAGCATCAAATACCCTTGCTCAAAACCATTGGCATTATGGCACTAAGTCCCACACTGAATAGTCTGGGGCATGGAATCAATGAGGTTTAATGCACTGGTGGGGATGAAGTCTGGGCTGCTATTCAAAACAGAAACCTGACAAGGAGTTTTCAGAACTAAAGCAATTTCTAAATTAATAGCTAAACCTAATCAATATCTTTTTGACTCCCCGGCATCATCCATGTGCTTTTTAAAATCAATTCTCCTCTTAATTATACCAATAGTAAAAAATTCAGCTGTATTTTTCCCTTCCTGTGTTACTGAAATAATCTTAATGTTAAGTTGGGTGAACAGATCACAATCTGCCACCAGATGAAAATGCCCCATCTGCGCTGAGTTACTGAGATCCCCAGAGCAGTCAGAGTGACAGTTTGGAAGAAAAAGCCTGGAGCATGGGGCCTCAGCACTCCCCAGCATAAAGTCCGGACAAGCAGTGCTTCCAGGAAGGACTCAATCTAGCAGAACCTATTTCTTGTTTCCCCTACAGGACTTGGGCCAACTCTATATCTTTAAACGGAAAATAAGATCATTTTTCTTGAGTCATTCTTAATTTGTATTTTCCATCACTATTCTGCCCTATTATTTATCTTTCGACTCTATTAATGAACTATAGATTTGACATACGACCTACTCTTTTCCCAGTCAAATAACCTAGCACACCAAGAGAAAGAAATATAACTTTTTTTTCTCTAGTTATCTTACCTAGGCAGTGTAAATTCGGGGAATAGGGAAACTGGTTTTCCTCTTTGTACAGATTCTTTGAAGGCTGTAGTAAATAGTATCCTGATTGAAATTCTTTGGAGACATTTTAACTGCATTTCATAAATAAACTTTTCACTCTCCATGGGTATTCTGAATTACATTTTCCTTGGTACAACTTTATGCTTTCACAAGTGTTAAGCTATCCAGTTCAACATGATGCATATAATACTCATTCCCGTTTGTGATGTCTTGTATATAGGGCTACATGGAACAGGGCAGGAGCAGATTCCCAGGCAGACAGATGGGTCTCCACCCTTGCACAAAATACACCCTCTTATTAAAAGAGCCAGACACCTGATTTTGAGCGAATGGTTGTATACACAGGAATACTTATATATTCATGGATTTGTAAAATGGGATTTCAATCCCTCATCAGGCCATAGCCAACCTACAAAACTAATACTGGAAGAAATATGTAGACACAACCAACAAAGTTATCATCTGCAGGTGGGTCTCTAATTAAAGGCACACCCTTAGGTAGAGCATCACATTAACAGCTTTGATTATTTGTGAATTCTACAGCCCATCTACCATGAATAGGAGAGTATCCGAGAGAATCAAGGCACCCTTTGTAGATAAGCAAGTCTGTGGCTACATGATAGTTTTCTTTGTATCATAAAATCAGGTCTCTGGATATCTTCTTTAATCAACAAACAGCCCACCTAAAAAGGAGGATTTATTATATGTAAATTGTACTTCAATAAATATGATTTTTAATTAAAAATAGTCACGGGATATAAAGTAGAGCATAGAGAGAGAATATAATTACTGTGATAACTATGTATGGTGTTAGGTGGGTACTAGACTTATCAGGAGGATCACTTCATAAAGTGTATAAATGTGGAATCACTATGCAATACACTTGAAACTAATATTGTCAACTGTAATTGAAAAATAAATTTAAAAAAGGGTTATACCATATTTGCCGGCGTATAAGACGATTTTTTGGCCCTGAAAAATATGCCTCCAAGTGGGGGGTCGTCTTATACGCCAGGTACACTTCAGATAGACTGCCCATAGTGCTTGCCCCGTGCCATAGTGGCCTCCCGATGCCCGCCCACTTCATTCCACATACCGTTCAGGCATCAGCAGCGCTGCTGGGTGTATGCTCGGCTGTTATGCGATTTTGCTGTTATGCGATTTTACCATACTCGCAAAATCGCACACAGCCGACCATATAACAAACTCTGTATTTTGAGTGGAAATGCTAGGGGGTCATCTTATACGCCGAGTCGTCTTATACACCGGCAAATACGGTATTTTATAAGAGAAAGAAAACTAGAGAGACTGGAGTTGCACTGTCAAAGGAACAAAGGCTATTTGAACCAGGGGAGCCATGGCAGGTGTAGAGGTGATTTGGCCCAAGTGAAGCATGGATGAGAAGGGAGAAATGGGATCATGAGATAAGCATGGCTGTGGCAGGGGGGCAGGTGGTAGGTGAGAGGGGGTGGCACTCACCACTGCCTCCTCCACTGGTTCCTCAGCCCGGGTGTCCAATCCAGCGTCCAGCCCAACAGCAGGTGTTACAGTGGCAGGTGGCTCCTCTGCTTTCGGCTCTGCGGGTGGAGCCTGTTCAGATTCAGCCTTTGATTATTTGTTTTGAGGGTTAGAGGAAAAAGATTCAACGTATGAATAGAGCATTATAGAATATTGGACAATTAAGATCTTCATCATCCTACAGGCAACTAGCTTCATTAAATCTGTGCAGGAAAAAATCCCCAAATGTGCCATTATGGGCTTTTACAGAACTGGCAAGTCTAGGACTGGACTATAAGCTTTTCTTTTACCATCATCAAGAACTGTCATTTCCCTTGAAATTAGGCCAAGACTTACCATTTTGGCTAGGGGAGGGGAGGGGAGGGAAGGGACAGGAGAAAAAAGGAAAGAAGGGAGGGAGAGAGGGAGGAAGGAAGGAACAAGAAGGGAGAGAATGAAAGGAAGGAAGGAAGGAAGGAAGGAAGGAAGGAAGGAAGGAAGGAAGGAAGGAAGGAAGATATTGGGAGCCAATTGAGGACAGTTGGGGATACTGAGGCTGTGGCAAACTGCTACATGCCTCTATGCAGGACCCTATGCCTAGGGGAGCGGCTGGGTAAGACAGTCTGCTTAGTAAGTGCATACGCAAAGCTCAGACACCCCCAAGAGAGAAAAAATGCTCCAAGACTTTCCACCACGGATTTGTTACAGTTTCTATCCCGGCCCTAGTTCCTGGTTTCTGTATGCCTACACCCAAAGCCCCCTGCTAGAATCCCCTACACAAAGAGGAACTTATTGCCTGCATAACCAGAGCCTTTCCAATAAACGATGTCTTAGTCTGTTACCAGCAGGCTGAGGCCCTCCTGCTCCCAGCTTTTGTCTCTGTTTTCTTCGTTTCCCGTTTCCCACCCAATCCTCTCAGGTACCCTTTTGGTGAGCTCCTGGCTAACCAGCCAGGGGCGTTCAGTTGAGCGAGTCAGCTCTCGACAATTGGCGCCCGGAACAGGGACCTGAGTCTGGATTGTGAAGTAGGTTGCAAACAGCAAGCGGGCGTGAGGAAACGCCCTTCAGGGACGGTGCACCGATACCAGCGGACCCATCCGGTTGCTTAAGGAATGAAGGGAGCAGAAGGCTACAAACAGGGGAACTAAGGTGGCCGTCTCCTCGTTTTGTAAGGAAGAGTTAGGAGTAAAACTCGAGACAGTGTAAATAAAAAAAAAAACAAGGAAAAAAAGTTTTGTAAATATATCATCAAGATAGTTTGGTATGTGAGTTAAAATTGGCCACTCCACTCACCTGATAATCAAAGTAATTGGGGAAACTAACAAACCTTTGTGTAAAAGAGTGTGAATGCGTGATTCCTTGTGGCTCCACAGTTTTGACTACGGAGTCTGAGTGGGCTCCAACCTGCGTTTCCATAATTTGTCATATGGCATAATGGCAACTGGGCTTTTGTCTCCGGACATTTGTTCACCTGACTGGGGGCTTACACCGGTGGGCCTTTGCTAAGCCAAACTCAGTCCCGTGAGGGGTGCGGCCAGGCGAGCATCTGAGTGACTTCTGAATGAATGTTTTGCTTTCTCTTTTAAAATTTTAGAAATAAGAAAGTATGGAACAAACAGAGTCAAAGAGTCATGCACTTTATCTACAATTGTTTAAAATAGTGCTTGCAGAAAATAATAGTTTAGCCTGAATGCAACTTCTGGAGGATTTCCTTGGCTGGCTTTGTGCCCGGTACCCCAACTCTAAAGAAGACATGCTAGATTTAGAGACGTGGGATTGGGTTAGGGCACATCTGCGAGCGTGCCAGGTGCAGGGAAATGAAACAGTATCAGAGGAGTTACTTTCACATTGGGAACAGATACAGGACGGTCTTGCCCATGAGGCCTCTGAGTCTGAGGGAGCCTCAAACTCACGGAAAGAGCAGCCTTAGACTGTTAGAGAACAGCTGAGGGAGAGGCTTCCTTCTTTTGAAGGACTAGAAAGACCCAAAATAGAATCTCTGCGGCAGCCTAGTGCTGAACTAGAGGGGTCTTTTCAGAAGGAGGAAAATCCAGCTCCACGGAATGACAACGTGGCTCATGCCACAAGTCGTTCCTGGCGAGGGTTTTCTTCACCACCGCGGCCACTGCCGCCAGCACGGAGGCAGCAGTCTGCCTCACGACCGCCTGATGAGCATGTCTCAGGCGCCAGAAGCCGAGTCTCTGAGGTTTCCTGGCCTTCAGAGGATCAGCCTTATGGCCTGACATTAGCATTTAGAACTATAGGTGATAAGTTAATGGAGAGTGTTCAGGGCTGCCAGGGCACTCCCCCGCCATTGAGAAAGGCACTCTTGATTCAGAGGTCTGGGAAAGGGTTACAAGGCAGCTCAGAAAAAGACAGGAGCTCCAGGAGCCCGGGAAGCCTCCGAGCGAAGTACTTTCACTTTGGGAACTGGTACGCGACGGCCTCACTGTCAGCTCAGAGGCTCCGTGCCACCCAGAGAAACAGGAAGAAAAGGAAAAAGGGCCCCTTGAATAGCTCTTTGGCAGCCACACTTCCTCCTCTGTATTCAGCAACTTAACAAAAATAAGTCTTAAAAGATTTCTGTAACTCTCAATAACTTTCAAGGTCTTACAGATATCCTCAAATGTGAACATAGGGCTCCTACAGCCTCCTCTTAAGGCTGAGGTAACTAAAGAGAAGAAAAGAGGCACTTTTAAACCCAGGTGGCAGCCCCCCCCCCTCCTTATCACAGCCTCCTGAAGCTATAAGGACAACTATAAGATCTTAGGTCCTCTCTACAATTGTTAATAATTCTGTGTGTGTGTGTATATATATATATATATATATATATATATATATATATATATAGTCTCTAAGGTCTATACTTGTTATGTTTTATACGTATTATAATATTTTTGCCTCTGGATGGTATTATCAATTTATAATATTTGATTAGCTAAAAATAAAAGATTAAACACTTTATTAAGATAATAAAAATCAACTCAACTACTTCTCAGGCTCACATAATTTAAATAAATAAATACATTTAACTAAGGCTGATTTCTTAGTTTTACCAAGTTATATTAAATAATAAAAATTATTAAATATTTTAATAGGTATTTCAAAATAACAAAATACTGAAAAATAATTATTAAATAGGTCTAAATTTGTCTATTTCTGGCTTCTTATCACACAGACATTAAGGGATAAATTAAGATCTATTAATATATCATATATTACATTACAAAAGCCTATGCTTTTCCAGGTTATAAAAAATATTCCTCCCAGACCAAGTTCCAATAAAAGAAAAACCCAAACAGCAAAAAGGGAGGTTGCTGCTCTTGTGGGCAGACAGCCCGGCATCGCCAAGTAATGGGGGCTCCGACAACTTCACTTTAAATTTAGTAACAAAAAATACAAATTAAAACGGGCCATCTTAAATTTTTTAATAAATATTTCAAATTCCTAGGAGATATTAATGGGATAAAAGTTTTTAAAAACCACCCAGTATCTTAATATTAAGTAATTTTCAATATAAGGGTAAATATCAATTTTAGGTATGTTTATGTATAAGGTTAAGCACAATTAATATTAGGTAAGATAAGGGTAAATATAAGTATAAGATTAAGTATAATTAATCTTAGGTAATAAGGATAGGTAGACACATAAAAATTAATTTTAGGTATTTTTAGGTATAAGTTTAGGTATAAAAATAAGGTCAAGTACTTGATTTTAGGTATTTTTAATTATAAGGTTAAGTTTAATTAACTTTAGGTACTGTTAAGTATAAGTTCGTCAATTTTAAGGTTCATGAACTTAATTTAACTGTAGGTATTTTTAAGTATAAGTAAGGTTAATTAACTTGAGGTGTGCTTAAGAATAAGTATAGTCAACTGTAAGTATTTCTTTTACTTTGGAGGTTAGTCACACATTATACGGAGTAGTCTCGATGTTGGTGAGGGGGACGACTTTCGTTCTTGCAGACCAACTCCACAAAATTATTCTGAGCATCATGGACATTCAAAATTTCTTACTCCAAGGCCAGCCGAGTGGCTCAGTTGGTTAAGAGCTCGCTCAAGAGTTTGAGCTCTGAGCAACAGCGGTTCGATTGCCGGCCGAGCTGAGCTGCCAGCAGGTGGCAGGATGGCTCAGCTTAAAAAAAAAAAAAATGAAGGTTTTCAAAATTTCTTACTCCAAAATTCACCAATATATTTAATCATTTGCTTATATTCAATCATAGAGACTTGGCTATGGTAACATAAAACATGTACCCGTCTATCCCTAACATTTCAATTAATAAAACAAAAAGGGGGGACTATAGATACTCCTTGGGTACCAAGGATACCAACCTTAACTAAATTCATTTTTCAAATTTTGAAGTTTCAGGTTTTTGCAGTTTTTGGGTTTTTTTTAAGATTTTTATTGGGGAACTGGGGGATGGAAACAGCGCTGGGGAATTGGGGGAAGGGGAACAGACAAGTTGCTCTCCTTTGTTCTTCAG